CGATCCACCGGTAGTTAGCGCTGCTCGGGCTGGGTCCCATCGCTTCGGTCGAGTTTTCTTCCAATCAGTCACCGCGGACCCGGTTCTTCCGAACTTTTCTCCTTCCAAAACGCTCTCTGAATTATTTGTTCACTTACCCAAGGGGAAAATCATATTCAGCCTGGAGCTTTGATGAAATTCGATCTGGAGCCAACGAGGATCTGTACGGAATTCACACGATTCCCCTGATCGATTCTGGGAATGTCCTGACGCGGATCTCCTATGACGTAGGTGGTCGCATCGAGCACGAAATTCTCGGGCAGAGTCTTCTCCACAGTAAGAGACGTCCTCCTCATCCGGCTCCGATTCCTAGTCGATGCCGGCCGTATTTGGCTTGTCATTCTCCCGGGATGCTCGAAGAGGTAATTGTCACCCGCTTGTCAAGACCTGTCAACGCATAGGCAAAAGTTTCGCCCCACCTCCTTTTGATGCCTCATGGGTTCTTTACGCCCAGCTGCGCGAGCCCCCGCGCCTCTCTCCGGTTCTCGTCCACATTAGGAAGACATTTCGGTAGAAGTTTATAGGCCAGGAACAGATTGAAGCCAGAGGTTCGTCGGGCCACGGCGATCGGGGAGCCTCGGAGGGGAAGAGTCGGGACGGACGCCAGCGGGAGCGATGGCCAATCTGGGTCTATTTTACGTCTCGGCCGAGAGAGTCGACCCGGCTGTAAATACACGGGAGCAACCACAGCTCGAACACCCATGCCGGACGTTACGCCCCACACAATCTTCAGAATGGGAAGCAAATAAAGAGACGGACGATACGACGGAAAAATAAAAGGAACTCCGAATCCCGGCTACGTGACGTGGCTAAAGATCGTGACGAACACTGACGGACCATCGACTAGATTGGAATCACCGATATACTACCTGCGCTCTCTACCGACTCCACTTCCTATCCGGCTTCTTGCGGCTCTCCGTAGCACTGCCGCAATCACTAAATCTTACGACCGGACAGGAAATTCCTGGAAATTCTAACTTTGTTTTCCTGTTCAGTTATTCAGCTCGCACGGTACGGAGGCTTCCTGCATCAGTCTTCTATCTCCCGACACTTCTCCGGCCGAGAGAATCGCCCTAGCGCATGCGGGCACCAATCCCGACAGAGTGTTGGGTGAGAATTTCGCATTCTGAGAAAGAAAACGGAATCATGAGTTCGCGACGCCGTTCCCCAAGTCTACGGAGCGAACTTGCCCAGGAATGCCGTCGGCGGACCGAAAATCTGAAACACGTACCTGATTCATAGGATCCAAGGTACATGCGGGATAACTGACACTTTTGTACATTCCGCTCGGTGAGGGAGAGCTGCAAGGCCCGCAGCTCATGACAAACGCAGCGGCAGAAACCATGAGACGCCTCGAGGAATTTCCTGGTCGGTCTATTCTGCTGTTCAGGAATGTGGGTGGATGTACTCCTCTGTCAGTCAAAGTTTCTGTTTCAAGCTCCCTCCCAGAAACATGGGAAACTTGGCTGGCAGATATCTCGCCGGTACGAACAGCTTCAGGGGAAGGAGCTCTCCTGAGTTCTCAGCCAAGGAGCTCGACTCCTCTATGGAAATCCCTCAGACTCTAATCGAAGCCGTGGCGTCTGGAGTGAGTTCGATCAAGTCGCGTTTTCCATTTTTGAGTGGTGTCCGTGACGGCGGAACATGACGCGCCTCGATTGCCTCGAGTCAATTTATTCGTGGATCAGAGTAATCAGAGCTTCCTTCCCTCCGCTACAAAAAGTGCTGCGCAGCGAGAAGATCATCTCGCTGGAAAGCCTTCATAATTATTTCGGTCCACTCCTAGAGACCAGAACTGATCGTCGACATGCGCTGAATCGTCCCGTCAAATCCCGGTGGTGCATAGAAGCTCGATTGCTTTGAAGGGGCACCTTGTTTTTTGTCTCTGTAGCATCGGGCCCGAGCCGTCGCGAATAGTGTAATTCAAGCGGCGCGCTTCATTGTTTCAGCTTCTGCAGGTTCACGTGGAAAAAGAGTCGACTCGAAAGGTTGCCATGCAGGCACGGGGCCCGTATAGGCAGCTAGCTGGCTGGCTCTGACAAACAAAGCCGTTGTCGTCGTTCTCCACCAACCGTCGATTCATTAACTGAAACTCTTCCCGGCGGCTCCTACTCACCCTATCTTCGCCGCCAGCGATCGCGACATTGAGAACACTTCTCTTGTTTTTCCAGACCCGAATATCGGATATATCACCGCCGCACTCAAACCGAGCTTTCGACAGCTTCTCTGGAACGGGCTCTCAATCTAAATGAGCCTCCCGTCCGTCTGTCCGTCACAGAACTATTTTTCCATAAGGGAAACCGGCGGCTTCAGATCGGCCGGCCGCAGAACGCTCCTCGCTGATTCGAATTATTTTTCGCCGAATGAGTTCATCTCGAAATCTCAACAGACTGACTGGGTGGGAGGGCTCCCCGAGCATGAACTCTCGGTGCTCAGAGGCGGACATGCGCGTCAAGAGACCACATCGCTCTCGACTTTGTCAGACTCCCGGGGTGGGGTGACGGGTCTGGTGGACAGTGCTGGCAGCGGGCTTCCTCGGAGTCTTGTTGAATGGTGCGACTAGTGGGAGTGGTGATGGAAACAGGTCATATGGCGCGCCGCCGGAGTTAATAATGGAACATCTTGGGGATAGCGCGGCGAGTCTCGCAGCAGATCAAACCGTTCCACCGCGGACTTCGAAGCCAGCCGGAGCCCCGGGAAAAATTCGCTCCATTTCCGTCCCCGAGTCGGCACTCGACTTTTTCACTGACGACAAAGTCAATGAGGCCGTTATGTTTCGCTATAATAAGATGGAGAGCGAAAAATAATTTCACTCATATCCCGAACCGCATATTTCGAATCATGATGCCCTTTCGAGAGGTGGTCCGGAGAAAACTGGTCGGAGGAGCGTCTACGTAGCGTCAGCATGATGGAAGACATCGTTCGGACTACGGAGTCGACTACCGACTACGTGACAGGGTTCATTGAAGAAGCCAACGGCTCACTTCGGAGGAGTGGAACCTCTTGAGATTGCTTGCGGCAAACCTTGGCGTTATGGTCTTGCGCCTGGTCTGATTGCCCTCTTGACTCCCATCTGTCGAAGCGCTCCGTCCGGCCCTGTATCGTACAAAACTTGCGTGCCCTCCAGCTCGCCAAATAGAGTGCCTTCGCAGCGGATTCGGGGGCTTGTCGGCTCGCCGATAGCTCCCAAGCGTCTTTGAAAATAGGTAGACCTCACATTAGTTGCGCTTCATGGAAATCGTAATCGCTTGCCCCAATTAGGAGATACGATGCCGGAATCGCTTTCTGCCGAAAAAAGTCACATCGAGAATCGCAACGACAGGCGGGGAGGTCCGGTAGACTTGTGGGCGGGACAGTAAAACGGGTTTCGCGAAATCTCGTCTTCACATCTGGCTTCTTGACACAATCTATATATATAAAAACGTATGTCTGTTTGTCTGTCTGTTTGTCTGTCTGGTGTCACCTATAGACTCGAAAACGGCTGAACCGATCGTCGTGAAAATTTAGGAGCGTGTTCTGGGCGATCCAGCGGTGGTTATAGGGGGGTCAGTTCTCCGATGCGATGAGTCGTTCTACCTTAAAAAAATATTTGAGTGCTCCAGTGACGAAAATACGAAAACTCGGAAAAAAATTGAAAAATCGCAAATTCGCAAAATTCACAAACGCCTGAACCGATCGCCGTGAAAATTTAGGGGTGGGTTCCCGGGAGCTTCAGGAAAGTCCTATGAGGGTCGACGTTCTCATGTGATGGGTCCTCCCACCATAAAAAAATTATTCGAGTGGTCCTCTCACCGAGAATCAAAGATTTCATCAAGGGAAAGACGGGAATTCGCAGGATTTCTTATCGGCTGGACCACCATGAGGGGGCGGATTCTTGGGAGCTCCTAAGAAGGCTATCGGGGGTTGCCGTTATCACTGGCCTCTGGCTTTTTACTAATGAATCTCGCTGAAAATCGCTGTAGCCGTGAAGGGTATATTTTCCGGAGGACATAT